ACAGGATAGCCTCCCTCCACAAATTCTGTGGTAGGCAAGAACTAATCAACATAGCATTCATCATTTCTTTAAGCGTGCGGTTCTTTCGTTCCGCAATTCCATTAGATTGAGGTGAGTAAGGAGCCGTTGTTTGATGAATGATGCCTTGTTGAGAACAAAATTCTTCAAACGGCGCTCCATATTCTCCACCTCTATCACTTCGAACAATTTTTATTGTTTTGCTAAGTTGATTTTCAACTTCATTCTTATAATGTTTAAACATTTTCAAAGCCTCATCTTTGCTTTTTAATAGATAAACATAACAGTACCGAGTGCAATCATCAATGAAAGTGATGAAATACTTTTTTCCACCTTTAGTTTGTACGAATTTCAAATCATATATATCGCTGTGAATTAATTCTAAAGGTAAAGTATTTCTATCAACTGAAGGAAATGGTCTTTTGGCTAACTTAGCCTCAACACAAGTTTCACATTTGTGATTAGGATTGAAACTTAGAGAAGGTAGCAAATTTAATTTCATTATTTGAGCAAAGATTTAAAGTTTGCATGTCCTAATCTTTTATGCCATAAACAAGAAGAATCAACAATATACGCAGAAGTAGAAGCTTTATTAATCTTGTTCAATTTAGGTACAATAGTAAGGACGTTCATCTTGAACATCCCATCGGTCATGTAACCTTTTCCAACGTACATCCCATTTTTAGTTAGTACAAATTTGTCAGATACAAATACTAACTTAAACCCATTCTTACTAAGAAGAGATCCAGAAATAAGATTTTTCCGAATGTCCGGCACATGCAGCACATTGTTGAGGACGAGTTCCATGCTAGATGTCATCTTCAAGGTCACATTTCCTTGTCCTTCAACCTTTGAACTTGAGGAATTTCCCATGAACAGTTGTTCTCCATTGATAGTTTTGTAATCAGAAAATACATTCTTTTCAGCACAAATGTGGCGAGTGGCACCAGTGTCCACCCACCATTCCATGAGATTTCCAACACTATTACATTCAGATATTACAGCAAATAGGTGCATTTCTTGAACACCTTCAGACAGATTTTCAGTTTCAACAACATGTGCACGGTCATTTTGCTTTTTAGGCTTGCGACAGTCAATTACACGATGTCCAGGTTTGCCACAGTTGAAACAGTCCCCTTTGAACTTCTTGCTCTTCTGGTTGTTTTCTTTTTTCTTCGGAGCAAAGTTTGAGTGCTTCCTTTTCATGTTCTTCTTTGAACTTGATTCAACCATGTTTGCCTTAGTTTCCATGCTTGGTCCCCCGTTCCTCCTTTCAGATTTCTTAGTATCTTCTTCGATCCTCAAACGCACAATCAACTCCTCCATGTTCATTTCCTTACGTTTGTGTTTGAGGTAATTTTTGAAATCTCTCCATGAAAGCGGGAGTTTTTCAATTACCCTTGCTACTTGGAATGACTCACTTACAGTCATTTTTTCAGCATGTAAATCATAGAGGAGTACCTGCAAATCTTGAACTTGGGAAATAACAGATTTAGAGTCAATCATTTTATATTCCAAAAATTTTTCGACAAGAAATTTTTTAGATCCAGCATCTTCAGTTTTATATTTTTTCTCTAAAGATTCCCATACTTCTTTTGCAATTTTCATTATGCTATATACACCATATAGCGAATCATTCAGTCCATTCAGTACATAATTTTTGCATAAAAAATCGGAATGTTTCCATGCGTCCAAGGCAATAATCGAAACTCGATTATTTTCTCCTTGTTGAACAGTAGGAGAATCCTCTGTGAGAAACTTTGCCAGGTTCAAAGTGGTGAGATAGAACAACGTTTTCTGCTGCCATCTCTTAAAATCGACCCCATTAAATTTTTCAGGTTTCTCTCTGTGAGGAACATGAGTTGAACCAGAAGGACCAGACATTGTCAGCGTTACAGTAGCCACAGTTGGCGTCACAGCCACAGAAGGGGGAATTGCATTGATCCCAACAGTGTTAGCCATTTCTGTTTTCAAAACAGAAGATCAACCAGGTAGAATTTACAAATTAAAATTCTGCAGAATAGTAATTTCGCATAAGAGTCTGCAAAGGTTAGAAATAAGCAAGTACAATTTTGGAAAATAATTTTCTAATAAAAACGTCTTAAGATTGTTGGATTTTTGTTGCACAGAACATATTTTTCATAAATGACTTGCTAAACCAGATGAACTATTGCAAAACAGTAAAAACAGAATATTATTTCCAGAAAATGAATTGCACAGAATAAAAACAAAAGCATAAAGAAGTCCAGAATTCGGAATGAGGATGATCGAGGCGAAAACTAGGCTCTTTGTCCTTAAAACGTTTTTACCCCGTTACACGGTGCTTACGGTATGTGGTAAAGCGTCTCCCAAGATACAACGATCAGATACTTGCAAAAGCAGCACTTCGACTGCAAGGCAACGAACCAGAAAAGAAGTACTCTCTGTAGATTATTGCAAAAAAAAGAGTATGTACGCAGGAAAAAAAATTTCGTGATGTTTCTGTGTGTTTTTTTTCATTAAAAGCCTAAGGACCATTCAAATAGAGGAGAGAGTTAACGATTGAGCAGTTTTCATCCACCACTCACGCCCACTTAACGCACAGTTTTAGCAAACTGATGGGTCGGTTAATAAACTATCAAACGAAGGAAATTAATTGAATTTAAAAAAAAAACCCGGACGGCGGCGGCGCGCTCGCGTGTGGCCTTTGGATTAGTCTAGACATTATCTAAGGCTCCCCCTTTTCAAAGACTATTGGTACCCCTTGGGGCCCAAACTCATATCCAAACTTGAAGTTTATTAAGTGGTTCAAGGTTGTGTTTGCAACCTATGTGGGATTGGAACATTTTTCCAATTCTTTCCCATTTATTCCTCTTATTTATTGTCCAACTTTCAACCATAATTTCTCATTCATATTGAAGTGGTTTTTCACAATTAAATATTCTACACTCATCTGCTCGGAACGTAGAATTTAATTGAACATTAATTTCGATATATCGAACATCGGGTCCCACTTAAAATTGTGGTCAAACTTGACCCAATTGACCCACCATTTCCAACAGTTTGCAGCAGCCTTAGCGTTGCCGTTTGAAGCAGTTGCAAATGACAGAGCCTATAGTGAAGTCGACCCGCCCGGCCGGTCGGACAGACGGCGACGGCGGCGCGCGAGTGTAGCCTTTGGATTAGTTTAGACATTGTCTAAGACTCCCCCCCTTTCAAAAACTATTGATACCCCTTGGGGCCCAAACCCATATCCAAACTTGAAGTTTATTAAGTGGTTCAAGGTTGTGTTTGCAACCTACGTGGGATTGGAATTTTTCCAATTCTTTCCCATTTATTCCTCTTATTTATTGTCCAACTTTCAACCATAATTTCTCATTCATATTGAAGTGGTTTTTCACAATTAAATATTCTACACTCATCTGCTCGGAACGTAGAATTTAATTGAACATTAATTTCGATATATCGAACATCGGGTCCCACTTAAAATTGTGGTCAAAGTTGACCAAATTGACCCACCATTTCCAACAGTTTGCAGCAGCCTTAACGTTGCCGTTTGAAGCAGTTGCAAATGACAAAGACTATAATGAAGTCGTCGCGACGACATTGCAGTGCCACTTAGGGAGGTCCTCCAATGGCGCCTTCTTGTCTTCCGAAAGGATTGGGGAGAAATTATTGATAGAGAATGAAGGAGAGAGAGAGAGAGAGAAGGAAGACGAGAGAGAGAAAAGAAGAAGAGATAATTAGGGTTTGAAAATGAAATGTTGAATATGTAGTTTTAATATAATTTAATTAGGGATAAATAATTAATATATTAAAAAAATTCTGATTTTTGATTCGTTAAACTTTCAACCTGATTTTAGATTGTAGAATTTTTAAAGTAAGGTATAGTGTAATTTCCATTAGCTTTTTTGTTTTTATTCGCTCCTCTGCCAACCTAGTACGTTCCAAAGACAAAATGCTAGACTCAGCCTTTGTATAAGTTTTGTAATAACATAGCAATTTAAGACATAATTTAGGATGTGCTTGAGCCTCATTTTATGGAAAAATGGATTTTCTAGTAGTGATTTTTTATTTTTTTTTAAATATATGCTTAAAAAGTAGGAAACAAATATTGAATTTACATAAAATATTATTTTATTGAAAGAATGTGTAGTTAAAAATGAGTTTGAAATAAAATGGAAGTTAAACCTTTTGGGCATATCTATTGTGATTACACTAGTTCCCTCAGATTATTTCAAAACATTCATTTGGAAAATAATTTTGATTGACAAGGGTAAGGATATTGGAACAGAATCGACACTCAATAATGAGTTTTGGAAATGTGAGAGAAAGAGAGTCTGTCTTCATCATAACGACTAAAGAGAGAAATGATTCATATAAGCAAAGAATGTAGAAGATAAGATAATAACTCAACACGCTTTAGTACCAGAAAGATTTCGTTTTTTTCTACGAGTATTAAACAGATAATATATGTATATAATTATATCACATATAACCTTAATCTCAAAAAATAGGTATTCAATTTCAACCTTAAATATCCTCCCAATTTAAAAGCTAATTTCATATTGAAATTCATTCTTTGTATATATTATATGTTATGTTTGGTAGTTATGTTTTTTATTGACAATTGCATGCGAGAGGAAACTCTTTGAGGTGGCACAACAGTAAGAATGACGTTTCCAATTGTACCAAAGATGACTTGAAGCCATCAATAATTTTGCAAAATATAGGTAGATGGCACTAACCATACTCAGCATAAGACATGGGTAGATGGCCGGCCAAAGGGCTCTACATGTCGATCCTGAGGACCTTGGACGCTGAGTGCGTGACACCTAGGCATCAACAAACTAACTCAAATAGCATAGAGTAGAGAGCAATCATGTACATACCTCTATAATGCGCCCCACCTACAAATTAGGCGACATTTTTCACAAATTTTACAAATAGTAAGCATGCCTCCAGCGTTCGTAGTTAATGCGTTAAGTATTCCGCTTGGGGAGTACGTTCGCAAATGCAGTACCTGTATCATCATTTTCCTTTTTCCTGGTGGGAGGGAACATTAATGTTAACGGGCCTACAGCCAAATCACATCCCAAAACAGTGACATCACAACCTCGTATAAATCAAATACTATCCCTTTTAACTGTAAAGTTGAAACACAAAAGGAGGCCAATATGCATAAAAATACAGTTAATCATAGAAGAATGCTCTATTTTGCCGTCTCAAATATCCTCAACTACTGGGATGTGCAGGCACAAGCTTGATTCAATCGTCAATGCTATAGCTACATAGGTTGATCGGAAGGAGTGGTAGCATCTACCTCCATACTGTGCCTCTTCTTTTTTCCCTCCCCATGTCTCGACCTTCTCGGAGCCTCATCCTCGCTATCACTTTGGTCGTTTCTGAAGTTGTTTCCAGCACCATACTGATCCTCTGACAGGGCTTTCCATCTGTGCTGATTTTGTGCCTCATCACTGGTTCCAACCGAGCCAGCCATACCCAGATCTGAACCATAATTGAATCTATCGTTCCTATAGCCAGATAATGCTCTCTGATCTCTCTCGGGCCGGTTAAAATTTTGTAAAGGTTGTGATGGAGGTGGGAAAAATGGCGGCATACCACCTGGCCGCCCAGCTCGTACTGGAGTTGCAGCACCAGCACCCACGAAAGGGGGTCTTCATGGACCCACCATCATCCCAAATCCTCCAGAAGGCCGGCCAGGAAACATCATTCCCAAGCCGGGGCCCATGAGCTCACCCGACAATCTAGGACCGTATGGTCCAAAGCCCCCAGGTGCCATACCAAAAAGATCAGGCATAGGAAAACCATCACCACCCATCATGTTAGGGGGGAAGCCCTGCATCCCGGGGAAAGGTCGGGGTCCATGTGCTAGAGGCATGTGAGGAGGCCACATTATTCCTCTGCCCCTTCCCCTTCCTTGGGCTCCCGGTCCGAAACCCTGTCCATAGCTTTCATCCTCTTCTTCACTTTCTTCCTCTTCCTCCTCTTCATTATCTTCAAAGGGTACAATATCAGGGTTTTCACTCTCATTGCCAGGTTTGATTCCCTTTGCCTTCTCCTCTTCTCGTTTTGATTCTGCTGCCAGTGAGCTAGCCTAGAAAAGAGTAGATTACCATTTTCAACCGTCTATGCCAATCGGAACAATAATACCACCACAATTGAGGGCAAACTGTTTTAAACCAAAATGTACAAAATTATAATGCGCCTAGCCTAAAAAAGAGTAGATTACCACTTCCAACCATCTATGCCATTCAGAACAATAATACCACTTCAATTGAAGGCAAACTGTTTTAAACCAAAATGTACAAAATTATAATGCCCTACACATTCCATGCAATGCATGTTTTTTAGCATTGGATGCTCCATGGATCAGAATAATTGATCATTACTCTAGGATGGAAAAATGCAACCTAAAGTATTCAAAGGGAACTTGGTTTATGAGCACAAACCCCTCAATACAACAAAAACAAATGTATTCACCATTAAATCACCAAGCAAAGAACCACAAAGAAATGGAGTAGAAAACTCAAAGTACAGAGACAACAGATTTCACAATTGAGATAAACTGTAATGACTCAGAAAAGTGTCATGAAATATAGCTACATGGTTCTCGAGTCATGAAACACATTGCTGCCGTGCTAAATTGTTGCTTTTTGAGGTAAAACGGTGGAGTAGTAACAATGATGCTACTATGTTGATGCTTGAACTACTTTAGCAAACATTTTATTCTTGCAAGAAAAGAATTGCCCAGATAGAGTTTACTAAAATGCCCTTCAGTCAATTTAGGTAATATAAGTACCATAAGTTCACTGTCTGGCTCAAGGTAGAGTAAGGAGGCCAACTGCTCTCCAATAGAGGGCTCTAGCTCTTGACAGTCTCTGCTTATCTGCAGTAACATGAACAGAACAGCATCAAAGAATAACTTATAAATCCTAATTAAATTTGGCCCATGCTAAGAAATTCAAATAACAGGCATCTAAGGAGCTTAGAGCACAAGACACGTTTCAAGTTTCATTTTCTAGGTAGGGTAACATTTACTTGAATTTTCTATATTAACTACACATCCCAAGCGCGTCAGTTTTCATTAATCCATCTTTACGAATTGGTGGATATGTTGCAATTAATAAAATCAAGGGAAATCATCTTTGGACAGGTTTATAGATATTTGATTTTTCCATTTCATTCATCTTCGAATTCCTGTTTGAGCTTCCACCCCAACTTTCACCACTTGCACGAATCAGATTCAATTTTTTTTCACTCCCATCTGTGCTATTGTTGCTCACAAGGGTAGCGCTCCAAGGGGGTAAAGAAAACATGATAAACTAGACTTTAACTTCACGTGTTTATTAAGTATATCGTTAACAATTTTAGAGAAAGATTCATGGGGCACCAGAGAGTCAAATCATTTGTCTAAGTGGATTGTTGTAATGCATCATCATTGTATTTGAAATTATAACGCATTCTAACGTCCATAATTTCAATTCATTTCAGAATCAAATGAGCCATAAACAATAAGAATGGAAATTTACCAATATCGAAGTAAATCATAGAGATGAATACAAGAAGAAAGAGTTTCAAGTAAGTACTTTCACTGGTAAGTTCTCATTGAATGGGTTTCTCAAATGCCGCGTTTTATGGAAGGACAATTCACTGAGCTGCATGTAAACTTAACAGTTAGCATCCAGATCAGAGTGATTGTTTAATTCGCTGTAGATGATTTAGAATATGCAATATGTACACCAAAATTCAGTTAAGCTGGAAGTGTCAATAGAAACAAAAAACAATGCAGAATTGGACTATCTTGTAATGTTTACACCTTTTGAATTTGCGAATAAATAGAAGGGGCAAAATAGTAATGTTTTATATTATAAATGACCTAAACTTGGAAATAAAACACAAAAAGATGACATTTTGCCCGTGAAGTTATGACACTGAAAACACATATTAGCAATTACTCCAGGATGACAATTGTTGACCCAGAGTGGGTAACAGCTCAGAATTTTGCTTAGACAATTGCCATATAAGCATTTTGAGGAAGATGACTGCACATTGTGCAATGACCAAATCAAACAATGTGCATACAAGTGTTGATCCATGTGCAAGCTCACATATAATGAAAAAGCACGTACACATCGTCTTTCAGACAGTAATGCAAGAATACAGATGGTCAAAACTTTAAATCCCATCGATTATGATGGGAATACAGGAACAAGTTGACAGCTGAGTATAATTGTTCCACAATATAACCTGTCATGATGAATAATTTATAAATTCAACATTCTGCATTAAAAAGGGTCATGCACACATTTTAATAGATGTGGCATAAACAGTCACTATTAACTCGCCACGAATTAAACTTCGCATTTGCATCAAGAAATTGGTCATTTATGGATAGCACTGAAGTATGCTACACAACCACATACATTCTAGGTATATAGTATAATACCGATGGTATCAGAAGACAAAGAGACAGTTTTACATAAAACACCAACTTCATATGGAACTAGAGATGCCAACAAAAAGGCACGTAAATTTAATAGCCTGTTTGATGTAAATTTTTTGACAATAGATTCGTCAAAAGTAATTTTTTTTGGAGAATGAAAATGGAAAAACTATGGATCCACGTGCAAATTTATTTTATTGGGAGATAATTGAAAACTAGATTGAAAAAAAAAGAAAAAAAGAAAAAAAAGGAGCTTTACAATAATATCTACCAAAGAGGGGCTAAATAAAACAATATTTTGAAAATCGACCCAATCATAGACACGGAAGGGTTAAAAAATCGAACCGGGGTCAAACCGGAGTCTAACTATTAACAATAAATAAAATGATTAATGTATGACTATATCAAAAATTTGACAAAATATGTTATTTTTTCAAAATGACTTGCATATAGAGACAAAAATTATTATTGCAATTAATTTATGAGCTTGTTAGGTACAGCTTAAAAGCCAATTAAAATCAATTTTTTTACCGTTATTTCACTATTCCGCCGTCATTTTTGAACTCTTCTCTCACAGGTAGGACCCACTTTATCTCTAATGATCAAAAAATCAATTATTAAAATCTCTACCAAACAAGCACTTTATTAAGTTCATTTCTAATATCAATAGAAAATAAGACAATAAATATAGACAAATGCATTAACAGTTGAGTCAGTTAAATATTTTTATCGCATTTTATTTGTTACTAAAATAAATAAATGAGAAAAAAATTAGAATAAAAAAGTAACTAAATTAAAAAAGCAATGGCAATCCTACATCGGTTCCATCAACTACAATTCTGAAGGAAATAATTTATTAAAAGGGGCGGCCAACATTGAGGAAGCACACTATTTGGGCCTATTTGTTTTAATGCATAGGCCTAAATAATAAGTTGATTTTCAAGTTTAAAACCATTGTTAAAATCGGTAATCCGGTTGGGGGTTGGCCGTTTTTGTGGTTAGACTGCCATTAAGTTGATTTTTTTTTTTCCGGTTTTTAAAAATAAGGTTTTTAGCCATGAACCGAACCAGATTTGACACCGGTTCACGGTTTTTTCGGTCAGACAGGCAGGTTAGTCCAATTTTGATAACATTGAAATAAAATTAAGTTCAGGTAGTAATTAAATAGAAGCATCTGGTACCATAAAAATTACAGGTTAGCATATTCAACCACCATGCTTTATGGTTTTGAAAAATCAGCAACTACAAAAAAGATGGAAGCTGTGAAAGTGATGTCACCAAAATGAAGAGACAACTGATTTAATTAAATGGTTAAAAATGACAGTCATGAAGGCCATGTTTGATACATTAAAAAAAATAAAATCTGTTCAACGAGGACGTTACCCTTTGTTGAATTGCAACAAGAAAATAAGATTCATCAAATTCATCAAGCCAATGCAAATGGGGATTATGATGTGCATAATTTAAATTGTCATCATACTATTTATAGTGAGGTACTATCATCTAACAACCAATTTCTCAAGCTACCAGATTATTTGATCAGAACAATGCTACACCTCAGAGTTTGATACTGCAGACAATTATCTCCACCATTTCCCATAATCGTATGCCTCAGGAAGGTGTCGCTGAGAGAAACAGTGAGAAATCTAGTTCATCTCGCAGCGGCTAGATTTGAAGAGTGAAATTCCTTCAACAATATGTAAAGATTGGGAAACAAAAGTGAGTACCTTTAACCACTTGACATCAAAATTCCGCCCATAGTGAGCAGTTCCATGTGCGTGCTTCCAATTTCCTCCACTGATGGAGCCACCGATTCTAGATGTCATCTTTGCACAACCCTAATAAATTACAAACACCTCTGCGGTGTAAATATAAATAGGGAGAAAATATTTTTGTTTGAAATTATAAAATAAACCAAATAACAACTTCTTGACGTTTCATTCACAACTTTGGAAATTTTAATTTATGGAAATATTTAACCTACCTGAAAATGCCTAGTCTTGTTGACTGAAAAGATCAAAATGACATTTTCAACAGAATCAAAAGCTTCATTTAGTTTAGGCTCATTGCTTCGTTGGGTTGCCCATTCTCCTTGTTGTACAGACAATTCCAGATTCTCACGGTTGCAACTTTTGACAATAAAATACCTATATTATATGCACATGAAAATGGAATATAAAAAGTAAGAAACAAGGTCTCAAAGGAAACAACATTTACTGAAAAGGAGGGGATGGGGAAATTTACTTGGAGAAATAATATGAGGGAAGTGACACAATACAAATTATTCGAAACATTCAAATTTCGCAAAAAAATAATTGCCGCATGCTGCAGTACAGGGACTCAATGTATAAAAGGCCCTTATGTCAGAGAGGCATTATTAGCTTCGTTAGTCTTGTCTGCCAAAAGTTGTCCTTTTGACTTTCTTCCTATATAAAGCCAAGCATAACATATCTTCATTAGTTCAAAGGTTTTAACACAAGCATCCTGCTAGAGCAAATCAAGTCTCGTTACCTTATCTAACATGGTCAAAATCAATTATAAAAAAATGGGATTCATACTAATGGTTCAAAGATGTTAGAAAGAGCTCAACCGAAGAAATAGAAGAATCCTGCCCTGTCTCAGTCAAAGCCTTAGCTTTCACGGACATTAGCAATTTTCGGAGCAATTGAAAGAATAACATATTTTTCTAGTAAATGTTATCAGCTCCAAGGCAATCCATTGCAAATAAATGTGCAGCAATGACTACAACAACAGGGCAAGAGAATTACTCATCCAAAATAATGTGGTGTAAAATGGCCAGAGTTCAAATCCGTTCCTCTTGTGCGTAAATAACAAGAAGAAGCTAGGTCTTGTTCCCAGTAGACTTGAGGTCCAGTACATTTTTAACCACCCATTCAATCCAGTTGTAGATCGTGTAAACAAGGTTATAGTTTGGAAGAGCAAAAGAGCACAAGGAAAGCTAATATACATTGATTGAGAAAACAAATGTGGAATTAAACATGATTTAAAGATACTAATTACAGTCGACACAGGACATATCTCTCAAAGTAACATCCACAAATAAATACATGAACTGTTCACGCAACCTAATTAAAGACCTTGTAACTCTGAACACACCTAGATGTTCCTTGGGGCAAGGATGTAGCTGTCCTACTAGCTTGATTTTGCTGGCCATTAGGAAGATTCTGTACTTGAGCCTGGCTGACCTGCTGATGAGACTGTTGATTTTGTTGCTGATGCACATTAGAGGACTCTGTCATGGTCGTAGTTCCAACCAGATTCACCCCATCGAGCCCTTTTTGGAACTGTGGTTTTTCTGTCTGGTGGGCATAATTAGAATTACGGTTTTGAAACCTGTTTGGGTTTCCATAGTTGAAGGATGCCAACTGCTGGATCTTCTGAAGAACTTCTTCCACGGAAGGTGGAGGTCCGGGCAGCTTTGCATGCCTATATCGACAATCAGGACCATTTGGACAAAATCCCAATTTATACCTATAATATAGAGCCTCCATTCAGAAAACAGACAGATGATAGATGATAAGACATTCTGATGCAATTATTATATTTTTTATGAACCATCAATGAGATTGAGAAAGAATAACAAATTTAGCATAATGCTGTGTACCAAAAAACGTTAAATAAACTTTCAAATGAGTACCCCATACTGTTGGGAGTAGCATTTCATGATTATTATATGCATACATAAATCCCAGTAAAAACTTTTATCATGCATGAGAAGACAAAAATAGCTGATATACAAACCCAAAGCATGTTAGATCATATAGGAAGAAAACTTGATCCATTCGTTTTGCGTAGGAAAGTAAATATTTTTTCCAATGACCCCAAGACAATAATGTACCAATATATCTATTATCTGCTTACATATCCTTCCAAAGCATTCATCTTGTCGAAGGACAACAATTCATTCAACGGACAGAAGGAAACAATATCCAGAGGAAGTGGGAAAAAATGAGTAGTTTACTAGACAGTGCTGTAACCAATTATCTTAACAACCTATTAAATCCTCATAATGTCAGGCCAAATTCATTTTATAAAACCAAATCCCATCACACTTAAATATCCGAGAATCACTATTTTTTTTTTCATAATCCTAAACATAAAAGACATTCCTTGCAGCCAAATCAACGCCATCGCATTACAAAACAAGTGCTTCGAAGGTCGAACCTTGCTCAGTAGTGTCGTCAAGAAAACGGACACACGTACAAACACCCACAAATATAAAAAATACGGAAAAAATTTGCATGTATCCATACATGTTGCATTCTTTGATATCCTCGTTTGTATGTTTATACACACAGTCCTGCTCACGGCACTCCCCATAGAGGCGGAAGAACCTACAGATGGGCATCCGTGACTTGTCGTACTGGTGGAGAAATCCACAGGCATCACCCTTCATGCAAAGCGATCGCAACCAGTGCCTGCACACCGTCTGCCGGAAGCTCCGCCTGCCCCCTCCCAGCCCATCCGCCGCCTGGACCACCTGAACTTGGGCAGCTGATGAATTGTTGGCATTGGCGGCTGGGCCCGAATCTGTGATCGGGTCTGCCGATGAATGGGTTGCAGGTACAGATGCTGTGGGCTGTGTTGGGCCCGTATCTAGGCCCCCCTCGAAATCGAAGCTTAAAACTCCTTCTCCGTCATCCATAATTATAAAAAAATTCGGGTATATATGTGCAAATATGTAAGTTTGATTTAGCATATATATCGAATGTGATATACGTTTTGTCCTGATTTGGGGGTTGCATTGCAAGGGTTTTGTGTGATTAGATAGACGGTACTGGAGAAGGAGGGGAAGAAAAGGTTCTGGGACATTATTGGTCACCCAACTAATTTCATGATTTCGTTTTGGGTAATTAGCACAAAATATCCTTATCTTTCGATGTTTTTGTGGAAAAAGTCCCTACCTTTCATTTTTTGGTGGATTACACTCTTACCTTTACATTTTTTTGCGCAAAACGTCCTTCTGTCAACTCTCCGTTAAAATGCTCCGTTAAATCAAAAAGGTAATTAGCACAAAAGGTCCCTACCTTTCAAAGTTATTGTGCAAAACGTCCCTACCTTTTATTTTTTAGCATAATTAGCAGAAAAGGTCCCTATCTTTCAATATTATTGTGCAAAACGTCCCTACCTTTCATTTTTAGCATTTTTACCCGGGTAATTAGCACAAAACATCCCTACCTTTCGATGTTTTTTGTGGAAAAAGTCCCTACCTTTCATTTTTTGGTGGATTACACCCTTACCTTTACATTTTTTTGCGCAAAACGTCCTTCTGTCAACTCTCCGTTAAAATGCTCCGTTAAATCAAAAAGGTAATTAGCCCAAAAGGTTCCTACCTTTCAAAGTTATTGTGCAAAACGTCCCTACCTTTTATTTTTTAGCATAATTAGCAGAAAAGGTCCCTACCTTTCAATATTATTGTGCAAAACGTCCCTACCTTTCATTTTTAGCATTTTCACCCCTACCTTTCACTTTTCATTGCAAAAAAGGTCATTCTCATCCATTTTTTCAATAAAATAACGATTTTACCCTCCTATTCAAATAAAACAAAAAGAAAAGATGAATTACCAACTGCAACCATAATCCTTAAATTTTTTAAAAATTACAAAAAATCATAAATTCTCAACCACCACCATTTTCACAACCTATTAAGCTGCCAACTATAAATCCACATAATACCACCTTTCGGGCACCATGCCCATTGGACTCCACCACCGTAAATGTGGTTGTTTCGGACAGATTGGTGACCAATACTATGGAGGTGGATATTGGGGAGAGTGAGGCGACGCTGGTGGTGGTGGAGTCCTATGTGTTGTGGTCGAAAAGTGGTGCTATATGGATCTATAGGTGGTGGCTTGGTGGGGTTGTGAAAGTGGCGGTAGTGGAGAATTTAGGATTTATCTGTAATGTTTTGAAAGATTTAGAACTATGATTGCAATTAATTAATTATTTTTTTCTTTTCTTTTTGTTTTATTTCAATAGGAGGGTAAAATCGTCATTTTATTGAAAAAATGGATGAAAAAGACATTTTGCGCAATGAAAGGGGAAATGTAGGGGTAAAAATGCTAAAAATGAAAGGTAGGGACGTTTTGCACAATAATATTGAAAGATAGGGACCTTTTCTGCTAATTATGCTAAAAAATAAAAGGTAGGGACGTTTTGCACAATAACTTTGAAAGGTAGGGACCTTTTGTGCTAATTACCTTTTTGATTTAACGGAGAGTTGACAGAAGGACGTTTTGCGCAAAAAAATGTAAAGGTAAGGGTGTAATCCACCAAAAAATGAAAGGTAGGGACTTTTTCCACAAAAACATCGAAAGGTAAGGATGTTTTGTGCTAATTACCCTTTTTACCCCTACATTTCACCTTTCATTGCGCAAAATGTCTTTTTCATCCATTTTTTCAATAAAATGATGATTTTACCCTCCTATTGAAATAAAACAAAAATAAAAGAAAAAAATAATTAATTAATTGCAATCATGGTTCTAAATCTTTCAAAACATTACAGATAAATCATAAATTCTCCACTACCGCCACTTTCACAACCCCACCAAGCCACCACCTATAGATCCATATAGCACCACTTTTCGACCACAACACATAGGACTCCACCACCACCAGCGTCGTCTCACTCTCCCCAATATCCTCCTCCATAGTATTGATCACCAATCTGTCCGAAACAACCACATTTACGGTGGTGGAGTCCGGTGGGCATGGTGGCCGAAAGGTGGTATTATGTGGATTTATAGTTGGCAGCTTGATAGGTTGTGAAAATGGTGATGGTTGAGAATTTATGATTTTTTGTAATTTTTAAAAAATTTAAGGATTATGGATGTAGTTGGTAATTCATCTTTTCTTTTTGTTTTATTTGAATAGGAGGGTAAAATCGTTATTTTATTGAAAAAATGGATGAGAATGACCTTTTTTGCAATGAAAAGTGAAAGGTAGGGGTGAAAATGCTAAAAATGAAAGGTAGGGACGTTTTGCACAATAATATTGAAAGGTAGGGACCTTTTCTGCTAATTATGCTAAAAAATAAAAGGTAGGGACGTTTTGCACAATAACTTTGAAAGGTAGGGACCTTTTGGGCTAATTACCTTTTTGATTTAACAGAGCATTTTAACGGAGAGTTGACAGAAGGACGTTTTGCGCAAAAAAATGTAAAGGTAAGGGTGTAATCCACCAAAAAATGAAAGGTAGGGACTTTTTCCACAAAAACATCGAAAGGTAGGGATGTTTTGTGCTAATTACCCTATTACATTTTACTTTTCTCTCTCTTATTTTCAACTACACAATCTTTCATAAAATAATATTACATATAAATTGAAAATTTTTCTTTTTTTTTCAACCACTTATTTTTCAAAAAAAAAAAATACTATTACACTCATTTTCATTTCGACAAAATGGGAGGTCAAACAAGGACTTGTGCATTTTGTAGGAATGCTTATTCGTCAACTCTTCAAAACGACCATTTAGTAATCCATCAAATGATTCAATTAATAGTACAATTTAGAAACCAAGTTAAAATATAATAATTAATTGTGTGATATGACTAGAAAATTGAGAGGCAAAAAAATAAAAATAAAATATTGTTTGCTAAAAAATTAAGAAAACTTAATACAAATTGGACTTTGCTTGATGTACATAATTTTTGTACATCAAGGTGTCCATGCCTCTCACATGGGATGGGATCCACACTTTTGTAGGCCACATCCCATGTGAGAGGCATGGATACCCTTATGGACAAAAATTATATACATCTAGAATTTTTCATACAAATTAGAACAAAACAACACGGCCACCAAAAAAATATAGCAAATAATTACCAAAAAAAAAAAAAAGGATAAATTGATGTAAAAATTGTCAAAATTCAAGAAATTTATTAGTAGAAGAAAAAAATGTGAGTTTAATTTAAATTTAAATTCAAATTTATTTGTCTACTCAATTATAGTGGATGGTTGATGATATGGTTCGGCAACAATTTTTCAATACTTTACCCATTTGAACGTTTTGCTTTCACAGTTGTCATAAATGATGGGTATTTTGATGTGATTTAATTAATTGGGATGAATAATTGACTATTTAGATATTGAATTTAATTGAATTATGTCAAATATGAATGTATCATTTTAATTGGGATGTGATTAGTTTTAATTGGATTAAATAAGATTTAAATTAGTTTATTTTCTTCTTCTTCTTCTTTTTTAATGGTTTGCAAAGATTAAAATCAAAACCAAACCCTTCAAAGCGGTTTGATTCGGTTCAAAATCAGAATGTTGGCGATTTTACGTGGATCAAAACCAACGATTTCAAAAGATGCTTTTAATTCGATTTTACAATTTGATTATTTCGTTGTTCAACTCTAATTCTGTTTTATTAAACTCAACATTCAGTTTGGGTTCTTTATTTTTTTATTAATTATTTGTTTACCCCTTATTCTATTAGTCTCTTGTTCTTAGTTTTCCTTCACATACTTTTTTATATTATACAAATTATTATTTTAAAATTCATAAATTGTTGGATTGTGTATTTTAAGTTTTAAAAAGAATCCATTTAATGACTTATTTTAATCAAATGCCAAAAATTACTTCGATTTCAAATGAAGAGGTTACGAGGAGGAGGAGTGACTACTAGTCAAAACTCGAACAAATTTATGCTAAGGAAGTAAATTTTAAAATTTTATTTATTAAGGATCTTTTCAATGATTTATCATTGAAAATTATTGTTTATACGGTTGGTTTTATAAATTTCTGCCTAACCAAGAGGATTTATTTTGGCGAAATTTTGATGGTATATATTGCTACTTTATTAAATTTATCATGAAAAAATTGAAATCATATATTCAAGGCATTAAATAAAATGGGTTACGCTTAGTTCATTAATTTAAAGATTTTTAAGGCTATTTTTTCTTTTGAATAATACACATAAAGTTTGAGTGAACACTAACTTTCAGAATTCGACTTAGACCTAACAAATTTCTGGTCTAGCTCTGACATATTTAAATATTGGATCATGCTAGATGTACCTAATTTTTTTTTTACCTAATGCTTTACATAAACTCACAATGGGGGTGTGGGGGCCACATGTTGGGATTATTTTATACATGCGGGGTCCACGTGCTTGTGAGAGTAGGTAAATCATTTGGTAAACCAAATTATGTACACTTAAAATTATCCTTAAATATTACATATTCACAGGTTTGATCTAATACTCATGATTGGCATGGGTTATTAAACCCACAATGGACGTAGTAATATCCGATGTTACCATGTGGCAATATCACGTCCATGATGGACATTATAACGTATGCTCACTGTGAACATTAGATTATTTCTTTACATATTCACAGTTGAAATTACCCATGATCTTTTTCAACGACTAATGAAACACGACAACCAAATGTTGATAGACCTATAGATGAAACTTGTGAGGTAATAAATATAATGTTGATTATACGAATTTATCCTTTCTATTTATTGTCATCTACAACTGCATGTAAAGATTTATGGCATACAGTATGTTAATCCGTCATAACTTTTCTTTTCATTTGGGCTTGTAGGAGATATATACATAGGCAGATTCAAACACGAGATCTTTTGCTACTTAAAAATGTACGTAAATTATGTTGTACATCGTGTCACTTTACAACAATTCTCTTTTATTCGAGTATGCGAAAGACATATAGGTCATTTTGGAGGCATTAGGCAAAATTGCTAATGGATGCCTTTTTGAAAACAATGATAAAAAATTAATGAAGTAAATAATCATTGATTAAAATTCGTCAACATATAGTATGATGGTT